TAAACATCCATGGTAGTTATCTATGTGTGCCTGTGCGTGTGTGGGAATCCGGCATTTGTTCCTCCCTGATTTTCATTATAATTATTGGTGCAAAGTGGGGCATTATTTCCTCTTCGAACTAGAAAATGGGGTGAGATCGTTTTTTGAAATATTTGTCTTTAGCTCTGATGTTGGTTAAATATAGTTCAAATAATAAACAAATGTTCAGTTATACTGCATGGCGATCGTAAAATTTTGTTCTTTCTATGAATGACATGATCGGACAATATTGATGGAGTGCATTTTTAAACAAATGTGCTTAGTATAGTTTCTTGTTCTTCTTTATGCTCCCCTCAGGATTTTGCAGTGGGGAGAGGATCGGCGTTTTGATGAAATGCGTAGTAATTTGGGAAAATTAGCAATTTTCTGGATTTTTCAGGTGGATTGGATTATTCTTTTAAAATTTCATTTTGCCTTCCTCGAGGTCATTTCTAGCTCACCATTTCATTTAATTCAGGCTGTCTGGGTCTGGACTGTAAGTTTACCTGTCACAGTGGTCAATGCAAGCAATCACAATCCATCTCTCCGACCTGCAGACGTAATTGGGTGGATTATGTGGTTTGTGGGTGTTGTAATTGAAGCTATGGCTGATCAACAAAAATTGGCATTTAAGAACTCTCCAGAAAATAGGGGGAAGTGGTGCAATGTTGGACTTTGGAAGGTTTCTCGTCATCCTAATTACTTTGGTGAGGTCAGGTCACTGCTAAAAGTACATTTATTTTGGAACTGGCACGTATTGTTTCCTTATGCATTTTCGGAATACTAGTACAATATTCCAAGTAATGATGTATTTATGTTTTAATTTCTTTCTCTATGCTGGGCTCCTTTGGCCTCTTTGACTAGTATTAGCAAAAGCTTACTCGACTTAATAAATTTCACTTACTTTGACCTGCTTGCTAACTATCATGTCAAGTCAAGGGGTGGCGTTCTTCTTAAAGAGAAGTTGCTTGCTCTCTAGGCTTTTCTTAGATACATAGATAAATAGATCTTTTTGTGAATGACCTCGATACTTCAAATTTACTTCCCTAAAGAAAGAATATTTAAGATATGAACCTTTGATAAACTCAAATATTGCCACTTAGTGATGAAGAACTTGTGTTTTTTTCCTTTGAGGAAGCGACTAATTTATTAGTTTGGTGGTTTTGATCAATAGTGTGTGGCTGCACTGATTTATTGTACTGCGATTTATCTCTACCCTGTGGAGTTGCATATATTTCACTTGTTCGTCAACCGATCCAATAAATTCAGATAACTGTTTCTTTTTTCGTCCTTCTAAAAATGAACGTTGACAATGGGATAACAGATCTTGCTTTGGTGGGGAATCTTCGTTGCTTCCACACCCGTTCTTGAAGATGCTGAGTGGCTTGTGATATTTGGGCCAATATTCCTCACATTGTTGCTTCTTTTTGTCAGTGGGATTCCACTACTGGAGGTTTGCTTTCCCCTCCCTTCCAATTTATCATAAAAATCTCACTTCATCTTATTAGGATGGTTTTGTATTGACAGGAATCAGCAGATAAGAAGTTTGGGACTGTGACCGAATACGTGCTTTATAAAAGAATGACTAGGTTGAGTTATTTTTTATTTTTCATTCATTTATTAACACACCCACTAATTTAACAACTATTTAGTAAAAGTAAAGATCTTTTTGAATTTCTATTCCAGCCCCCTGATCCCACTGCCTACAGCTACATATGGAAGCCTGCCCTCATGGTTCAAGAAAATTTTTCTATTTGAATTTCCTTTTTACAGCCGCAATCTTCCCTTGGACGACCAAAACTGGTGAGAATGAATATTTTATGTTCCAGACATTTACATATTTACTTGGCCACCTTCATTGCTTGCTCATACATGCGTCAGATATATTCTAGATCTGAAATAGAGCCAAAATTCGTACACTTCACACATCATTTATGACTGGTTACTTAGAGCATGTAAGATAAATTAATAATATTTGACCTTTGTTACTCTAGCCAGCATCACCCCATATTATGTAGGATCTACTATCTAGCAGTGCACAATTATTCTCCTTGTTTTCCTTTTCTTCAAGTTATATTTTAAATTAAAGGATTTTTTTTTTAAATTAGGAGACAATATAAATTTACTCAGTAATTCGGTTCTATTTATTCCCCTGAAAGTGCTTACAATTCTTGAAGTTACTTACAATTCTTGCAAGGTATAGAACGAGGAAGGGAGAAAGCAGTGATAGATTGAAGATGGGTTAGCATTTGGACTTGGTATAATTTCTTGTTTTCTTCATTAGTCTGAATAGCTTACGATACTGCTAGACTCATTCATCACCATTCTTTCCACTCCTTCCTCTTATGATGTATCTATTGATTACATAACCGACGTTGATGTTTATTTTGATTTATTGTTGTATTTGTAAGTATTGATCATCGATTTAAACTGAATGGTTGGTTGTAAATTGGGTTCATTATTGCCACCACATGTTCTTTCTGCATGGTTATGTATTACATAATTGATACAATCTCATATGCCTTGAATCCAAAAGAAAGAATTGCGGATATGATTGCCTTTGGAATAAGTACAACGGAGAGGATATTGTATGAAAAATCTAGACTATCAAATGCAGAGTATTTTCGCCTCAAAACCTTGAAATTTACGCAGATCAAGTGAAGGAAGTTAAATGAAGGGGTCGTATTTCTTTCTTTTTTGTACTTGTTTATTCACATGATTATTTTTCAGATAAATTGCAAAAATTGTGTTTGCACTTAAAGTCTTGTACACTATTAAATCAAAGTGAACCAAGTTAAATGTCAAAGCTATTCTACAATATGAAGCGTGGATTTAACCTTTAACTTTAGAAAGGGCGGTTGACCATTTTTTTTTCTATTGTTCTATAAGAAAATTATATGCCAAACACATGAATTTTTCTGTCATCTCAAATATAGAGGCATATGATTGATATTTGCACATATCAACCATATCTGTGCCCCGACTCTTTTAATCCACTTTGTTACACAAAATGCTTGCAATCCTCATCTCCTTGACTCGTCAATGGTGACCCAGCATCCTCTGTCTTTGCCACATTGTGGGGCATGTTAAAAAGTAATCATTTTTTAGCAGTGCATCATTAAATTTACTAAAATGTAGGCAGGCCACAGGCACAGAAGCTACTATTTAAAGTTTAAACATAGCGAAATAGCGAGATAAGAATGGAAATAGCGGGGATGTTCATTGTTTTTTCCCTTAGTCTACTGTTTAGATTAATCTTTAATATGGCCTCTCCTATTTCTGTCTATTTTGTTCAATCACATCATCAAAGCTTTTCTCTGATTTACATGATAGAAATCGCTTTTCTCTTGTCAGATTTATCTTCTCTTATACTTGGATATTGATTTGAACTAATAGTGAAAAGCAACAGATTGCATTGCCACAGTGTTCCATGATTGCGCATAACAGCAGAGGATGCAACAAAAATTGAAGAAGTCTTCGGGTGAACTTGATTGATCTCTGAGATGGCGCCGGACCCTTGAAAGTTAAACTGGAAAATTTCCGCAAAGAGGGGGGCTGCCTGCCCTACCATACTAGCCTGTTCTTTCGGCTGCCACTGAAATGGAGTTTGATTTGTATCATCATATATATTGATGAATACTGATGCAACTTAAATTGAAGATTATTTTTTTAGCCTATTTCCCTCACCCAACCCTGCGCAGGACAGACAGGAAAACAGGAAGCCAGCAGCTGGGCTCTTGAGACTTTTTCCTCCACATTTCTTAACATCCACCGCTCAGACCCGATTCTATTTGAGCCATTCTCGACCAGTGGGCCAAGGTATCATTTAACTGAATATCTCAACAATATCTTCATTTCCTCTCTTTTTCAGATTTAATCTGAGTAAACTTTTACATTAATTGTCATGTTCCAAAGTTATCAAAACTTCAAAGTTATCAAAAGTTCAATCAAATAATATTTTAGAGAGAGTAGGTTTTTTTTTTTAATAACTGAAACTAATCCAAAAGTTTGAACATGAAGACCTCTAAATCAGTATGATTTCGATTAACCTTAAAACCTCTAAATCAGAATGATTAAGTTACTCCAGAACAATATAGCTATTAAGGTGGTACTCAGAGACTTTAAATCCATGCCAATGGGACTGTCCTTCAGCGCCTTTACAAATAGTTTTTTAATATATATATTTCTTTAAATGAAAAGAATATTTAACTACCTACCTTTTGAACAGAAATTGAAAATGCAGGCCTAGGACTAGTCTAGGGCGACCTTTTTTTTTTCCCTATTCCCCTTGATAGTTTCTTTAGTGAAGACTACTGCAGCCAGTGAACATCTTAGCCCAGCTGGCACACTTTTCACTACATAAAGATGTGGCCAAAGGAACACTACAGAAATCCACTCATACTGTCAGCTCACATGCTACTGTCATTTCCATATTAGCATTGGGCATAATACTTCAACTCTTGCCAAGTTTGCTCAACTTAATTAGTCGTTAAACTCATAGTCCAACCTTTACCATAGAACCAAAACCACCCATTTAGCATAAGTTTCTACTTAATTCTCTAGCATCAGAGAGAAGATAGAGATAAAAATATGGCATTAATTATATAAATCCACTAGTAAAGCCACTACAGAGAAAGACCCATAAACTCCTATCAAAAGTATCATATTCTAGAGAGGAAGAGAGATCAGAAGTGAGAGTGTTTTGCTTAAAGTGCATCTAACCATGATGAGGGCAAAACGTGACCAAATAGTTGCCACCAGTGCAAGTTGCAATGCTGGTGGGATCATCATAAGCATAAGAGTAAGCCTTTGGGCAAGCGGTCTTGAAAATCTTAGAGTATGCAGTTGGCTTGCAGGACTGCGGATTCCCAAAGCTGCCTGTGCAGCAATACCTTGGCGAATTGAAGGCAAAACAAGCGCTTTTGCAGGCCACCACTCTCCTGTTATCGTGAGATCTAACTTGTAGACCCACAGGACACATCATGTTCAGGTCACTCACACACCCGGCATAGCTACATTTCCCTGAGCCTTTGGACGGTGTAATGGAAATGGCCAAGTTATAGCCGTCCACAAGGCTGACATCATAGAAGTCTTGGTCATTTCCAAGGGTGATCTCGGCGAGAGTCGCTGGCGGTGTGCCTCCAATGCCATTGCAGAACAGGGCACCACCGCAGTCCCCTGTAGCGCACTTCCCACGGCCAGATGCGTCGAAGGCGCAGCCGTGGCGGCCCCAGAAGCGTCCGGACCAGAGCGCCGGAAGGCGGAGGGAGTAGGCCTTGTTGGGTGGGAGCTTGAACCCGCCGCGAGCCAGCAATGGCTTACCGGCGCTGGGCTGAATGCCAGGCCAAACGGGGTGGGAGCATTTGTTGTAGAGAGTAATTGTAGTGGCAGAGACCAAAACTGTAGCAAAATCAAAGAGGAAAAGCCATGGATTTAGTCCACATTGCCTGAATTCAAGAACACAAAGAGAAACCAAACCACCACCCCAGATTTCATAAGTAGGGGAGAGAGTTACCTGAAATGTGGGAAGTGAGGAGGGCGTAGAGAGTGAGAGCGACGAGAGATCTCAGAGATACTTTCATGACTGAAAGTTAGAGAGAGAAAGAGAGAGTGTTTGTGTTTCTTCTGCTCAAAACCCCTCTCCGGGGTCGTTTGGTATGAGGGTTTATATAGAGAAATGGACAATGTGGAGTAGAAAGAGGCAGAGGACGGGGAGATAATGAGTAAATTGAGGAAGAGAGAGGCCTGGCGCCACTCAAAATCTCAACTTTTAGTGACAAAAGTTGAAATGGGGAGGAGGCTTTTATGATTATATAATTGAATGGCAATGGCATTGGTAAGTGGCATTGTATTATATTCTGTACCTCACCACTGCACTGAGGTAAAAAACTAAAAATGGAGACTTTGTAGACTGTAAAAAGAGGGGCTAGAGAGAGAGTAATTGATGATAGAGTTGTTCAGTTCCCAAAGATGTCAGAAGCAGAGGAGGGGTTTGGTTGTTTGCATTACAAAAAAGAAACTCTTCACATGTCAAGGGAATCACTCTGCTTCCCTTAATTAAAAACTTTTTCTTCTCTTTCTTTGGAAAAAGTTTACTCCTCAATGCTCCAAAACCCAAATCCAAAGCAAACTGTAAAGCACTTCACTTTCTCCAATGATCCAATTAATGACTGCTTCCTCCATAACCAAAAGTTTGTTTCATTTCATCAACGCTTCCCATTCTTTTTTATTAGTTTTTTTTCAATATTTAGTAAAGTTTAGATTAAAATTTCATTTAAAACCTTGTACAATACCAGTCCTTACATTTTTAATAAATATAAATATTAGAAACAATAGTTAACCTAGTCTTCAAGGCAGCTCACTTCACAAAGATTTGAGGTTCTTAATTATACTGACTTAGATGTTTAAGTTCGAACCTTCTGATAAGCCTAATACAAAAAATTCTCTCTCGAGTCTGGACCTTTGGATGGGCGTGAGACCTTTGGATGGGCGTGGGTGTCCTTGGACATAGGGAGCAAAGCTCCAATTTCCAATTAGAAAAATAAAATAAAAAAAAATAACTGCAGGCAACCTTCATTTTAACTTATAACAAAATGCATCAGGGTACATTTTTTAGTGTTCATTCTTCAATCTAACTCATTTGTCGTTTTTATATTCTTCGACAATTTTTTTACTAAGTATATTATTCACTTTTCATTTCACTCAACAATGAAGCGATTTGAGTTTTTTTAATCAAATAAGGTGAGATGAGGTGAATATCTTTTAATAGAAAATTTATATTGTTAACTTCAAAATAATAATCTCATTATTCGGTTTCATCAACTTTAGCATGAACCTTTGAACGAGACATTTAGGATATTTTGAGAGTAAAATCGAAATCTTCTATCCCAATGATTTATTTATAATATACATTTATTGTTTAATGTATTGAGAATTAACTGATTAATGATGTCAACAATAGCAGTAGTATTGCCACCTGTGCACTCGGAAATGAATAGAACTTGACCCTTTGATTTTGACCGTATCAACGGCTGGCGTTGCTTTATTGCAACGGCTCTGCTAGTGATTACCACACGTGAACAAAGGCGAGAGCACATTTACCTTTATGCCCTTATCCCTCTTTTTACCGTAAAGAAAAAATTGTCCCTCTGCCGGGGCCGACACCAAAGCCCACGTCGTCAAAAAGAGATTCTATCAACATTATTGTCGTTTATTGAACTGTTTCACTCAGACGACAGATCTAATGCCTTTTAATAATAATAATAATAATAATAATAATAATAATGCAAAAGAAATAATGTCTTTGTAATGA